ACACCAATGAAATATTCTGGCCGCAAACAGAAAACTACTTAAGGGAACAATTGAAGACAAGCAAATAAGAAGGAGTAATACAAATGAGAAGATAAGTTCAAAAGATGGGCCAACAGCATTTTTGAGGATGCCCATGTAGTACCAGACAGACGGACGGATGGATGGAGGGACGGACAGACGAATATACAGACAGACAGACAGATAGGCTAGGATAGATAGATAGGACAGACAGACAGACAGACAGACAGACAGACAGAGAGAAGTAGGTAGGTAGGTAGGTAGGTAGATAGATAGATAGATAGACAGACAGACACAGACAGACAGACAGACAGACAGACAGACAGACAGACAGACAGACAGACAGACAGACAGATAGATAGATAGATAGATCTTCTCAAGTCATATTTCATTGTGGAGGCGACCGACCGACTGATCACATGCCTTATGTGTGAAATGTAACAAAGTCGCCCTAGCATAGTGGTTAACGTTATTTCATCGTCGGCCCTGTGGTCAAGAATTAGAATCTTTATTGAGACCGGAAAACGTTTTTTTAACAACTGTCTATGGCTTCCTAAGGAGTCGCCGTGGCGTAGCGGCTAGACGCTTGCTTTGCGGATCGGAAGGTCGTGGGTTCGCTCCCTGACGGAGCCGGACTCTTTAAAAAATTACCTTGACTCCAAGGTAGACCCAGCCTTGAGTGGGTACCGGGTGCATTCCTGGGAAGTAAAGGCGGTCGGCGTGATGCTGACTACATCACCCATCTTGTGCTGATTGGTCTATAAAAAATATAGGTCTAGCCGTATATGCCCTATAAGCCTACAAGCGGGGAAAAGAGACCTCAACTTTCTTTTTACCATGGCTTTCAAGTTGACCCATATTAAAATGGTTACCAGAAAATGTTTAGGTGAAGTAAAGGCGATTCGCATTGCTGTAGACGACATCAATCAGCCAGCACTTGGTTGGTGTATAGTAAGGACGAACACTTTTTTTCCGCCAGTTTCCCCCTGGGACTCCAAGCCCAGTTGCTGCGAGAACAAGAATAGACCGACTGCCTCCCCAACAAGCATGACATAAAAGTCGACTAATTGGGAGCTTCCTTCAAAGTTAGAATGCATCTGTCTGAGAGACAAGGAACCATCATTCTACATGCAAATAAGTTAGATCTGAACACCTAGGTTCTGAAACAAGACTAAAGTACAGAGGTGGACGAACAACCAGAACTTTTCGCCAGAGTTTACAGCCGGTGAACGCGAAGATGACCAGGCCTTGATAGCAGATACAGCCATGAAACTGCAACAACATCTAACATCCATGAATGAAGAATGTAAAACAAATAATATGAGAATCAACACTGAAAAGACAGAAGTAATGTCAATAGGAAAAAAAGAAGACAGATCTAAACGTAACAATAGAGTGCAAAGGCATTAAACAGACATCTGAATTTAAATATCTGGGAACTACATTTACCGAAGATGGGAAATTGGATAAAGAAATTAACATTAGATGCAGTAAAGCAAACCAAGTATTGGGACAACCAGCCCCCTCTTACAGCATAAGACAATCCCAATCAGCACAAAGAGACATCTTTTTCAAAGCATATTTATTCCAACTCTGTGCTACCAGTGCCAGACATGGTCACTCACAACAAACCATAAAAGAAAATTAGTAACCATGGAGATGAGATGTTGAGAAGGGCTGTAGGAGTGACCATAAGAGATAAGATCAGGAATGAGATCATAAGAGTTAAAGTCGGCACAGAACCAATTCTGGATTACATATGAAGACACCAGGTGAAATGGTTTGCCCACCTAGAGAGAATGCCTTGTGACGCCATACCATACAAAGCATACATGGAAAGAGAAGAAGGACGTAGAGCACGAGGTAGACCAAGAACAATATGGAAGGATAACATGAGAAACTCTACAACAGAAAGATGTGCCTATGGTCGAGGCGGCCAGAAGAGCTAGAGACAGTACCTTATATTTCCCTCGACACCCACAGCGGTAAAAGAGGAAGTGAAGAAGCAGAACGCGAAGAAGAAGAAGATTTACAACTTTATCCTCGGATCATAGATAATTATCAACTTATAAATTAGTCTGCTAACCAGTAAATTTACTCCTAATGTGAAGTCTAGAATGTTCATCTCTGACTTGGCGTACTGATGGTGTTGACTTAGCAGGAACAGAGCATTTTTTTTTTTTTTTAAAGTAGTCTCATACGGCCGACTGGTCAGACTTTTCCATGCAGGAATTTGGGACCAGGAGCGTTTTATCTGGCAAGATTCAAGACCAGAGTCCTCAAGCGAAAATTAAGTCTTCTTCTTTTTCTTAGCCTTGATCAGCTTTAAACTCCGGCGGAAAGTTGTGGTTCTACGTTCCACTTCTGCACTTTGGCTGTGTTCTAGAACTTGAGTTTTATATATCTGGTTTATTTTTAGGCAGACTGTTGGCTCCTCGCCTTTCATGCAGATATATAATCAATAAAGAGAATGTATTGACCGGCACTCATAGAAAGATATAATGATCTTGTACGTCATGCTTTTCAGGCAAACAGTCTGTCTATTCTCTCTCTCCCCCCCCCCCCCCTAATGGGGCCCCCGAAACCTACAGGGGGAGCTTCAAATAAAAAGACAATGTTACATATAAAATAATAACAATCATTCATCATCATCGTGTTATTTTATTTACACGCAATACAGGTCTCCTCGTAGTCTATTCCTCCACACGGTTCAATCCTAACAGTCTTTTCGATATCATGTCTGTCAATAATTCGTGCCTTTCTGTTTTCTGTTTGACCTACTGACAGAAACGCTTAATTTGGAAGACATGATAATAGTAAGTAACTGGTTATATAGGTTCTGTTTTTATATCGGTATTCAGTTCAATCTGTCAATTCATTTGCATGGCTATTCAATGCGTTTCATGTTTGTCGCCGCCCCCTTTATGACTCTTTCGGGAAGTCTGAGATTTCATTGATACATATGAAACCTGTTTATGTAGATCGTCACGAACGACGGATTCTCTTTAGGTTTCCGCACAAAAAAGGTTATATAGGGTGTAACATTAGTTGAAGGAAATATCTGTTTTACACTTCCTATATAACTACAATTCTTGTCTAACATTTTACAGATGTTGTTTGGATCTAATGTAAGCCTGGATTAGTTCAGACTGTGGTGTGAACAAGTTAATTGTATTTGATGATAATCTTAATTCTGACTCACTTCAAATTAACGGTATTGGGTTCGATTCTAACGGCTGGAGATTTTGCAGACAGACCGCTTTGCATTGATTTCGACAATGGTGTGTAGCGCTTACCGTTGAGAAAGCAATGGCAAACTACTGTAGGTAAAATTGCCTAGGAAAACTACAAACGGTCAGAAAGTGCTGGGGTTGGTTCTGCAACGTCGTGTAAAGGAGACTCTGGTAAAATGTGTTAGTGCGTGCATGCGTACGTGTGTGTGTGTGTGTGTGTGTGTGTGTGTGTGTGTGTGTGTGTGTGTGTGTGTAAAATTACAACATACTGGAATCTGCCCAAAACACAGTAGTTACCATGTTTGTCTCTGATGTGGTGAGCATGTGTTCAAATCTTAGTCTTACTGAAGTAAACAAAGGTCACTTTACACGCCAGTGGCGCCCCGGGCATATGAGGCTAGACTCATATTTGCATGGACCAATAGTAGGTGATGTGGTCAACCTCACGCCGGCCGCCTTTACTTCCCGGGACTTTACCTAATACCAATTTATGGCTGAGTCGACATAGAAGCCAAGATCATGCATTTAACCCAAAAAAAAAAAAAAACTGGATTCTTGAGAGTTTGAACCCACAACCTTCGGATAGGGAGGCGAAGTACTAGCCGTTACTCCACGGTGGTTCCCATTCTCTATCTTATTTAAATGAAAATTGACCACAACTCCCAGATAAAAGCCACAAAATGGATACTGGGAAATGTTCCGGGGGGATTCAAAGTGGCCGGCATGGTAGTGACTACAACGCAAGTACTGACTGTTCTTGACAAATATGAAACTAGCACTATATCCCCATTTGGTCTACAGTTTAGCAGAGTTTTTACAGCTTGTTTAAATTAACAAGTAACAAGTGTCCTTTCTTTAACCCAACGTTTAATAGTTGAAAACACTTTCAATCGATATGCAAGATACTTCTTTTACAACCTTAGTCCGTATTGAGATTAGAGTCCTGTTTATGTGTTGAGGTTTGATACGTTACCTGCTCTGTCCAATAATTCCTGGCCAACAGGGCGTCAGAACACGGGTGCCCAGTCATCTTGAGCGCCCCTCGCCCATTATTTTTAAGAGCACACCCTCTCCCGCATAAAATTTGCAAAAAGGGCTAAGTGCTACTTCCCTCTTTACCATGTATAGAACTTTTCTTTTTAAGCTGTTTACATATTTAGTATTATTTCAGATTTATATGTATATGTGTGTATATATATATATATATATATATATTATATATATATATATATATATATATATATATATATATACACATATATGTGTGTATATAAATATATGTATATATTTACATATATATATATATGTGTGTGTGTATATATATATATATACACACACATAAATACACAAATATAGGCCTATATAGTTGTGTGTGTGGCTATTCGGCTCATATTAATAATAATTACTATTATTGAGCGCTTAAACAAGGCTTATATTTCTTGAAACTCCCACCCTGGAAAATTATAGGCACCTGACCCCCTGTCCTGCTCCCAATGTTTTCTTTGTGTTGGCACCCCTGCTGTCATGTGTTACAACAAATAAATCGCCGGAGAACTATAGAGACTTTTACAAAAGTGTGATCAACATTATGTACTACAATGATCTGAAGGCGACGAATTTTTTTCTCGGCGTATTAACTACCACTTGTTATTTTAAGGTTGTCTAATCTATCCTGATGTATGTACATCTTTCTGCTGCATGCATGAGTGCAATTATAATTTGTTTCCTATTGTATTTTACACCAAATAGATTATGTTCGAGAAGTGGAATATTAAGATTTGTTGATGTAGAAATTACAATACAACAGCAAAACCAAACGGATAGCTCAGTAACAGCATGGATGGTCAACCAACGAATCGATTCAACGAACCCATGGATAGGGACACTAGACAGAAACAAACTAATCAGAGGAGAGATGCTACGACATTTGGTAAGTATTCACCATTAAAAAAAATAGTTATAGCGCGACAGAGAATAATGTCTTCTGTCCTTTCTCGCCAGTTTTGCATAAGTCCCTGAACATCTCGCGTAAGACTGTTCTATCTGTGCCACCTCCCGCTGCTCATTCCATTCCACTTCAATATTTTGTTGGTTGTTAATTCACCTGTTTATTTTATTACTCTTTCTAACTCTTTGGCGAATAAAGTCATAAAATGAAAATTACATTATTTCGAAAACAAGTGTCAGAATAATGTCACATTAAATGTGATGAATTCAGGAAAGTTAAAGAAATAATTGAAATTTATTCACAACTGCTGATATTAACAGTTGGAGAAACACACAAAGAATCACAAAACGTGTATTTAAATTGAAAAAAAAAAAAAAATGGATGAGGAAATAGAGATGCAAAAGAGAAACTCTAAGAGGAATATTTATGAGAGGCCATAAGTGCCTCGCTTGATTCCGGGAGCAAAAATGAGGTTTGCGAGGGACATTATGAAAGGAGAGTTGTTGGAAGAAATACAAAGAAATAAATTTTATGACCACGATTAAAAGACGACACACTTTAAAAAAAAAAAGCTTGAAAGGAAAGTTAAGGCAGGCGAGCACGGCATTTATGGCAAGACTATACAGAAAAACGTGTACATCTATGAATGAACAGTAGGCTGAACGGGTGGGTGTACAACCAGATCAAGAATCCGAGCGTATTAAAAATCCAATACAGCCAGCTGTCATAACGGAGACGGCACCTGATTGATCGGGTCTTTCATTGAAAAATCCTGTGTTGCTTATATTTTTACATACTGATTATGTCACTAACCTGGTTCATTTATAAGGGAGCATGTGTGTTTAATTTTGTGTCATTATAAAAGTCACAATGATCCAGGTAATAATCACATACTTTATATCATTATGTCATTTATTATTTTTTATTAGTATTATTATTATTATTATTACTATCATTATTGTGATATTTTTAATTTTACTTAATATTCGAATGCCATAATATATTCAGTTATTTAAGTGGTGGTTCATTCTTTGTGTTTTGTGTTTCGTTTCTCGTTATTATTATCTAATGAAGGCTAATCGCTGCAACGCTCTTTGTTTTGTTTATTGAATCTGATTTTGCGCATCTGACGCATACTTTATGTTTTTTCAGTTTTAAAACAAAATGTTTTCTAAGAAAGTGTTGTTTACTTGTTTTATCAATATTGCGGTTGTGACTGTTACAGATGACAGTCAGTATTATAATCGTGGCTGTGACTGTTACAGGTGACAGTCAGTGTTATAATTGTGGTTGTAGCTGTTACAGATCAGTCAGTATTATAATTGTGGTTGTGACTGTTACAGATCAGTCAGTATTATCATTGTGGTTGTGACTGTTACAGGTGACAGTCAGTATTATAATTGTGGTTGTAGCTGTTATAGATCAGTCAGTATTATAAATGTGGTTGTGACTGTTACAGATTACAGTCAGTATTATAATCGTGGTTGTGACTGTTACAGGTGACAGTCAGTATTATAATCGTGGCTGTGACTGTTAAGATCACAATCAGTATTATAATTGTGGTTGAAGCTGTTACAGATCAGTCAGTATTATAAATGTGGTTGTGACTGTTACAGGTGACAGTCAGTATTATAATCGTGGCTGTGACTGTTACAGATTACAGTCAGTATTATAATCGTGGTTGTGACTGTTACAGGTGACAGTAAGTATTATAATCGTGGCTGTGACTGTTACAGATCACAGTCAGTATTATAATTGTAGTTGTGACTGTTACAGATCAGTCAGTATTATAATTGTGGTTGTGACTGTTACAGGTGACAGTCAGTATTATAATCGTGGCTGTGACTGTTACAGATGACAGTCAGTATTTTAATTGTGGTTGTGACTGTTACAGATGACAGTCAGTATTATAATTGTGGTTGTAGCTGTTACAGGTGACAGTCAGTATTATAATTGTGGTTGTGACTGTTACAGATTACAGTCAGTATTATAATTGTGGTTTTGACTGTTACAGATCACAGTCAGTATTATAAGTGTGGTTGTGACTGTTACAGATCACAGTCAGTATTATAAGTGTGGTTGTGACTGTTACAGATCACAGTCAGTATTACGTGATAGACAACCCCACATATGGCACAGCACATACAGCGCCAGCACACGCCTACACCATCAACAGAGCTTACAATGGCAAATCTGTTCCGCATCAGTCTCAGGCTAAAGGCTCACAGTCTTATACAGGTAGGTGTTCATGATTTCAACAGTCCCTAGATCTGTCTCTCACTGTCTGGCTATCTGTCTTGCGCTTTCTCTGTCTGTGTCACTCACTCTGTTTGTCTGTTTGCCAACTCTTCTACTGTTTCTTTTCTATCTTTCTAGCTTCTCCACATCCTCCTATAACCTGTGAGATGCCTTTGCCCTTTCTGTAATTGCTTAACTGCTGCTCGCTTTGCTCTCCATGCCTGTTCTACTTCTTGGGTCCACTATGGAGGCTGCACCAAAGCAGGGGAGATGGTTCTGCTGCATACCTTCTGTCAGAAGGGTACTGTCTCTCTCATACTTAAAAGTCCTGCGCGTTCTCACAGCCCTGATCTTGCTAGCTTTAGAAACCAAGACTGAGAATGGCAAATGGTCACTCCCATGATCGCCTAAGACACTCCATTTTGTGTTTGGCACTACTGATTGGGTAACAAAAGCCAAATCACTTGTCGTATCTGCATAACCAGGTCTCATTGCCATTCTAGTTGGCCTACCGTCGTCTATACAGACTATGTCTGCATCCACCAAAGCCTCTGCTAAATCATTTCCTTGTTTATTTTCTCCAGTACTGTCCCATGCTCTATTCCGCGCATTGAGATCCCCACAAATAAGAAGCCTTTTTACTTGAGATTTCCTCCGATTATCTGAGCCAGTCCCGATGTTCCTTTTTGACAAGAGATTCAACAGCAGCGTAAACATTTACTAAATTCCAGGTCGTTTCCCCACTATCTATCTGTATACCCCGAACCTCTAGTGTACTATGATTCCATTGGTCCAGGTCAAGAACTACATACTTCATCCCATTCTTCACCAGCAGGCATTGACCATGTCTTCCCTGTCCGGTAGGCTTTATATACCCAATGTAACCAGGACACTCATATCTATCTCTGTTGAATTTCTGCAGCATGATGATATCAAAGTCATAAATCAGTCTCTACAGTACAGGTCCTCTCTGTTTGTCACTACGATAATTTCAGAAACCCCACGGGTAAGTACTTCAGAAACGGGTCAGGTGAAAAGTCTTCACACCAACTTCACTCCGATAGAAGCCAGTCTTTGTTTGATGCTCGAGCGAATTGAACGCCAGCGTCGAACGCTATGAATGACCTGTCCTTCTATATAAGCGTGTGTGACCCATCATTCTATAAAAGAGTATATAATCTATCCTTCTATATAGGCCTGTATGACCTATCATATTTAAGCATATTTGACTTATTATTTTAGCTATTAGTACGTGTATACATGACTGTGATGGTTGATGGCTGAAGACAGTGGCATGGAGGAATATCTTCAGCGGAATTGACCCAGAACACCAGAGACCGAGATCTGTGGAGATGCATGAACGCCTACGCCAGCTGGCAAGCCACTTGATGATGATATAATGGTATATGACTTATTCTTCTGTATAAGTAGATGTAACTTTTCATTTTACTCACATGAAATTTATCCTACCCAGCGGCTAAAACACCATCTCATTTTGGGAAGACTGGGTTCGAATCCTCGATAAAGTGAAGGTCAATTGTTTTTTTTTTCTGTCGCAGGCAACAAAAAAAAAAAAAAAAATATAACTAGCCTGCACAGATGGTGCTTAATGCACTAGTCATGTGGCTCTAAATTCGCAGATTCAAGGACTCCTTGATGTCACATAACGCCTTAAACAATGGTAAATATAAGCAGAAAGGACAGTACTTATCCTAAAAAGCGCGTGTAACATCATTCTGCATAAGTAGTATGTCTTAAATACTATACTTAAATGCTATATACAATGACACATTATTTGTCCATCCTCAAATGTGTTGCGCTCTAATTTCTGTTACCCAGCTGTTTCAAAAAGATCACAACTAAAAGAATACCACAGCAAAAGATTGCGTCACTTCCAGCTATATGTCGCCCTTGTTATTGGGATAGCCATCATCATTTGCTTGGCGTTTGGACTTGGCTTTGGTTTAGGACGTAAGCATGAACTGTTTTAGCCTACAACTTTCCGTGTTTGATGCAACTTGGTGTCATCTGTTGAACCCACATTCAATATTTATGTTCCCTGTGTTGGTTCTGGGGTCCTATGTGGAGAGGGGAAATGGGGGGGGGGGGGGGGGGGGGTGGGGGGATGACAAACGGCTCGGTAATAAATATGTTGTAAAAGGTAACTAATTAAAGAGTTTTCTGAAATCAGATATGTTGGCCCAAGGCTATATATATCGCAACATAGCTGTAACCATTTTTAAGACGATCACACAAGAAGACGGAGAAGAAGAAGAAGAAGAAGAAGAAGAAGAAGAAGAAGTAGTAGTAGTAGTAGTAGTAGTAGTAGTAGTAGTAGTAGTAGTAGTAGTAGTAGTAGTAGAAGAAGAAGAAGAAGTAGTAGTAGTAGTAGTAGTAGTAGTAGTAGTAGTAGTAGTAGTAGTAGTAGTAGTAGTAGTAGTAGTAGTAGTAGTAGTAGTAGTAGTAGTAGTAGTAGTAGTAGTAGTAGTAGTAGTAGTAGTAGTAGTAGTAGTAGTAGTAGAAGAAGAAGAAGAAGAAGAAGAAGAAGAAGAAGAAGAAGAAGAAGAAGAAGAAGAAGAAGAAGAAGAAGAAGAAGAAGAAGAAGAAGAAGAAGAAGAAGAAGAAGAAGAAGAAGAAGAAGAAGAAGAAGAAGAAGAAGTAGTAGTAAAAAAAGAAGAAGAAAAAGATGGAGGAGGAGGAGAATAAGAAGAATGAGAAGATATTTTGAATATTTACATTATAAC